TCGACACCAAGAACCTTCGCCTACCCGGCTCGTCAAAATTTCGCCCCCGCTTCTGCGGACCTTCTGAATTGTGAAGATGATCCCCCCTGTCACGTCGAAACTTTTGCTGCCCGACGACTGGCGCATACACGATGCATTCCACGTCAGCCTCCTCAAGCATTTCTTACCCGCCACTACTGACATCGACCGCCCAAATCCGCCCCAGCGGCTCGCCCTGTACCAGAACCAATGCTTGAACCGTAAAAAAATCTAGCGCACCGTGTTCGACTTCACGCCTCCCGGCGCCACGTGGATTTCTTGATACGCTGGACCGACCGCACTAGTGATGACGACACCTGGGTGCCATCTGCCTCGCTCGAAGCACCTTCGCTTCTTTGTGATTACCTCGCCCGGAAGCAGTGCCCTAGATATCAGCCTTTTTACGCTGATTCAGCGTTAGATCAGGCCTTTTTTTAGGGGTTAGGCTGAATCCAAAGTTTTCTGTTATGTACCTTGGCTGATTTTTCAGTGTTTTTTTCTATACCTTGGCTGAATTTTCAGCCTGTTTGTATGAGTGTAGGCTGAGCACTCAGCCTTGTAGTGGGTACACACCGAAACCGGAAACCAGTGATTTCCGCCAGCACACCACTTCCACACGAACTTCCCCCCCCAGCCCCCGTGTTCCACTCGAATTTCCCCCCCAGCCCCCGTGTTCCACTCGAATTTCCCTACCAGCCCATGTGTTTCACCCAAATCTCCCCCCAGCCCACTTCGTCCACTCTAATAAACCCCCCTTTCAACTCTCCTCCAGCCCACCCCGTTTCTCCCCTCAGCCCAGGTTGCTCTCTCACCCCTTCCCCCAGCCCACCTCGCCCCTCCCCAAAGCCCGCCTGCCTCCCTCGCCACTCCCAAACCAACCATAAAAATGTTACACAAAGTATATGTAATTCGTAATTCTGCTTAGAATCAAAGCTATACACAATCAGCGTAGATTATTTATGAACACTGATTTTTCAGAGTTTTTTTCGTAGGTAACGCTGACTGTCAGCGTTTTTTTTCCGTACCAGGGCTGATGGATCAGCCTGGTCCAAGCAAGTTGCGGACATTGACCGCTTTTCTTAAGGGGGGGGGGGGGGGGGGGGGGGGGTAGTGCCCGAAACTTTCTTTTTCCTTCGGGGTTTACTGCCTCGCGTACAACCCCACACTTTCAAACTTCGCATGTTCGGCCAACGTCACTGAAACCGAGGCTCCCTCGAGTCGCCCTCGGTTTTCCCTTGCCAAACCTGCACCCGACCTCGCGTTCGTGAGGTTCCCGCCTAGCTATGGGGGTAGTCATTATATTATCACATGCCTTCATTGTATTGTAAGTTCATTCAGTTATAGCTTCGTTATTCGTTTTCCATGCAACTCTGTTTTACAACTCATAACACTCGAGTTTATTATTACAGCTGTTATGAGACGTGAGTCGATCCATATTGGAACAACGCTTGACAGTTGTGCGACGTTACCGTTTGGTCACAAGCGGCCAGGCGAAGATGGCCCGTCAGTGGGCGGCAAGAATGGTTACGTTGTCGAAGGCACCGATTTCGCGAGCAACACCTCTCGCAAGTCCAAACCTCCGAAACTCGGCCAGCTGAAGCAGGGCACAAGGGGCGGCGGGGGTTGTAATCGGCGCGGCCTTGCGCCCGCTTTCCGCTCGTCAGGACTCGCCCGTTACAACGAGCATTTTTTTACAGGCAAATTCGGAAGTCGAGCGCCCAATGCCTCTGATGGCGATGGATAGAATGTGTGGTGGTTGTTGTGCAGGTGTGAGATGTGTGGTGGTTCGTGTGTGGGTATGGAATGTGCGGTGCGGTGGTGCGTGGTGGCCGTGGCTGCAGCGGTTTTAGTGGCGAGTCGGTACTTGGGTCGCAATTCGGACCTCCTAACAACCAACCTCCTAACAAGTGGGTCGTCACACACAACATGAATGTTACTTCTGTCACTGTAGTACATGCTTCCAGTAACATGTGTAGTATGGAGTTCGATGCGCCCATACAACTCCAACCGCCAAGCGAACTGCCCATTTCTTACGACAGCCTGCTAGACCTGCTCGTATGTAGCATTCTAGTCACTGCGCCTCGTTCGCCGGCAGAAGCGCTCCTACGAGCTGCAACGAGTTTTTATGAAGAATTTTCAGGTTGTTTTGAACGACTGACTTTGTGATAAGCGACCGCATACGACTTTCTGCGACTGTGGGCGGCGATGCCTTATCCTCACCGGTGCGGTTTCGTCCAACGAGCTTGCTTGGAGTCACTTGTTACCAAGTCCAAATTTCCATCTACGCGGAAAATGCTAGCAGGTGGTCAACGCAGATGGTCTCAGATGGATGTAGTTCAGAGCTTGCAGAAGGCGATGCTACTCTACTCTACCTGGCAGGTCGGAGTAGCTGCGTACATATCGTAGCAAACCCACACCGTAGGTTGTTGGGTGTGAAAGTCATATTTGTTCGAACCTCTCTCGAACCTCTCCCGCGTCGCCGCGTTACTAGTCGCTAGTTCCTCCTCAAAGAAGGGTCTCAAGAAGAGCTGCAAGGCACGATGACCATGCTGACCGGGAGAACTGGCCAAAGCAGGGCGGCTCGGCGATCGCCCGAAGAACTGCAAGCGGCGACGCGGCCTGCAGCTTTTTCCAGTGTGGGTAATTCATGCACTACGATTCTCCGAGTCGCCGCCGCGTCGCTGCTTTTTCTCAGTGTCAACTGCGCCGTCGCGGCCGCGGCTGGCAGCACCCGCCTTGAAAGTGGACAAGCCGCGTCCCACTGGACACCACAGACACGGCAAGAGTACCTGCCACATGTCCCGAACTTGAACATCAAGTGGAGAGATTTGCTTTCGCCGCTAGTGAGGGTTGGGGCCGCGGCGCTTCGCGGAAAGCCTGCAGCTCAGATTGTAAGCAGTGCGGCGTATAGCTACTACGGACGCGGAAGCATCGATGCCGCGGCTTGGAAAGCCAGCAGCTCGAGCGAAAGCGGGAGACGCGGTAGCAGCAGCGGCGGTATGACTCGAAATACGACGGACATCATCTGGAAACAAACTCTAGCAGAGATTGTGATGCACTTGAAGCAAAGCGGACCAGGTAACAGAGCCCGTATCCCCGTTATACTAGAAGCAATGGGAGTGAAGGATAACATCGACGACTCGGCGTTGGACAAGCCGAAGCAGACTACAATAAAATCGCCGTACACGTCAACGCCGCAGCTGATTGACTCATTCCAGCGGAAGATAGAATCTTGGACACCCCAGAAAAACCGGTATCTCCTCGCGCTTTGCGTGTACGGGCGACTATCCAATCAGCAGCAGTGCTTGCGGAACTATCTAATCGCCGCCGCGCTTCTCCAGCGAACGTTAATCATTCCTACCGAGGGTTGCCGCTTGGCTTACAGGACCCACTGCTGGCGGTGGGACAACATTGTTGATGTTCCTAGTATGAGGGCGTGCCTCGCACCGGCTTATGGTACTAACGAGACTGTTATTACGGTGGATGAGTACTTGGCGAGGGAGGGTCGTGACGTGGCACTCGATCACATCGTGTGTCCTGCGAACCACTCGTGTTTAGAGAACTGGTCCATGGTGAGCCATTTTTCTGTCCCCGTCAATTTTCGAGTTGTACTCCTCACAAATTGTGTCACAAATTGGTAAACCTACTTGTGACATCTCGGAAATACCAAACCTATTCACCCCTGCCCAAGTTGACCTCTGAGAGGTCCCACCGAACTTTGCTCAGCTCTCTATTTGCTGTCCTACACCTCCTCTCTCGCAGTCCGGTTCATCACCCACACACTCTTTCCTCGCACCAACCCCCACCGCCCTCTCATCCTCGCTCTTTCACACCATCGTTTACCCCCTGCCTCTTTCAATTCTAACTCAACCCCCCACCCCTCCTCTCTGGATACATGCACTCCTATATTGCACCCTCCCTCTTCTGCTCCCACCCTCACTCCCACCCACCTTCACTCCCACCCTCACTGGCTCCCACCCTTGCTCTTTCACACCCTCACTTACCCCTTGCCTCTTTCAGACCCCCCCCTAATTCCTGCCCCCGTGACCCTTAACCGCCCTGTCTTCGCTATCCACCCTTCCCTCCGTGTGTGTGCAAGACAAACACCGCTACCCACACACCACTCTCCCTGGTGGAATAATAGGCATGCTGAGCCATCCTCATAACCATCCTCATACCCATCCTCATACCCACCCTCATAACCATCCTCATACCCATCCTCATACCCACCCTCATAACCATCCTCATACCCATCCTCCTACCCATCCCTATCACCATCCCTCACTCTACCTCCTTCCTTTGCTCCACAGGTGAAGGCGCACCATCCACACTCTCTCTCCCATACTCGCTGGAGTACTCAGCCATGCTCTCCCTCTCCCAGCATCATCAGCCATCCCATCCCCGCATGATGATCAGCCAAGCCATCCCCCAACATGATGATAAGCCATCCCATCCCAGTCTGATGATAAGCCATCCCATCCCAGTCTGATGATAAGTCATCCCATCCCAGTCTGATGATAAGCCATCCCATCCCAGTCTGATGATAAGCCATCCCATCCCAGTCTGATGATAAGCCATCCCATCCCAGTCTTATGATAAGCCATCCCATCCCAGTCTGAAGATAAGCCATCCCATCCCAGTTTGTTGATCAACCATCCCATTCCAGTCTGTTGATCAACCATCCCATCCCAGTCTGTTGATCAACCATCCCATCCCAGCATGATCAGCCATCCCATCCCAGCTTGATCAGCCATCCCATCCCCAAATACATCCCCATCCCAACCACATCACAAATCCCCATGTCTATCCCCATCTCCGTCCCAATCCCTTCGCTCTCCCTTAATCCGCATGCTCAGCTGTGAAGGGGCACTATCCGCACATCACGCCACCAGACAGGCCAAAATACCCCACGACGCTCAGCCACCCCCTTTCCCATCTCCATCCCCATCCCATCCGACTCTCCCCCCTGCCACGCACCGCAGATCAAGGAGCACTTTCCGCACATCACTCTGCCTGATAAACTCGAGTACCCCAGCATACCCTCCAAGGATGTCACCGACTTCCTGCACGCATACGCTCCCTATAACGACGCGCCTGTCATCAGCCTCGGGGATGCCTTTGCCTTGTCGCTGGACCACGCCCCTTTTTTCTTCAAGTCTGCAATTCCGCCCTTTAAAAGCACCTGCACGGACATCTGGCTGCCTCCCCCCGTTATAGACAACTTCGTTAACGGTTTCATCAACACGTTTCTAGGATCGGGTTATGCAGCGGTGCACCTTAGGCGGAGCGATTTCGCGCAGCATTACCGAAAGGAGAACAGCGAGGAGAAGGCGCGTGCTGCCTACCTTCCCATAGCCACGGTCGCACAGTTTATTGTTGGGAGGCTGGAAGATACGGGCACATCTGTGGTGTACCTTGCAACTGATGCAAGCCCGTCTGAGGTTGAGCTGCTGGAGAGGCTGCTTCTTGGTGAGTACAGCTGATGCTTCTATGCATCTCTTGGTTAAAGCTGTATTTTTAGTCACATTTTTTTATTGTCTTGCCTCGGCCCTCCCTATAACGCTGCTGTTCAGGCTCAACCTGTCTTTTTACCCACATCTCTATCCTGCCTGTGGAATCTTCTTGGGTTCCCTATCCTTCAGGTTCGGGCAGCACTACCCCGCTTGTGGCTGTTCGTCTGCTGGAATTTGCCAAGGGGTCGTCTCGTCGGAGTACTCACAATTTCCCTGGGTGAAGAGATTCCAAGACTTGGATTCAGACGACGATGGCACTCTTAATGCGCTTGCAGAGAAGTACATATGCGCTAATGCACGCTTCTTTATAGGGACGCCAAAGTCAACTTTCACTCTGGAAATCCTTCGGTTGAGAGTGCTGCATGGGAGGATGAACGAAGTGGATGCGTTTCTAGATAATGAGGTATGAATATTGCTCAGCCGTTTACTGTATCTCTTGGTCCTGAAGGGGCAATAAGCTTGGTCACACTAGTGCTGGCAGGGCTGACTTCAAATAAAGAAAACCAGTTTGGGGGTAAAACAATAATACCATAGGCTATCATGATTTCATTAGAAAAGGGCCGGTGTAACTATAAGTGACACAAAGAGAGTACCCCTCCCCGTATTATAGACCCGGGGGTCTACAACTGGGGCGGGGGGGTCTTTTATCCCGAGGTTTACTGTACCTGATTAAGCACTCACACACACACACACACCGGCAAACCCAAAATTTGTGCACAAAACTCCGTCTCAAACAAACACTTCAGGGCAAATAACTACGTTTACCCGGAGGCACCAGACCAGAGTATTGTATCCGTAAAATCAGGGCGCGTGTCCTTGTGGGGTGCATGCTTTTCTAGGTTATGCCTTGAGGGCTCAGGGTGTCTCGGAACCCAACACAGACCCTGAACCCCACTCATCCTCTATGTCCTGCATCAGCATCGGGGCCGATTGCGCGATGCGACTCGCCTTTCCATCTCTCCCATCATCACACGAGTGCAAGGCCTTGCAGCGGTGAGTCACATGAGGGAGCAGGAGGAGTCATCGCCCTCCACGGGGCGCATGGGCGTGGCGTGGCGGCAGTCGATGGCCTTGAGGCGCCTCACCACCTCACTCATGTCCGGCCGCTTGCCTGCCTCGCCGTGCCAGCAGCGCCTCATCAGCTCCGCCAGCTGTGGCGGGCAGCACGAGGGGATGTCCGGTCGCAGGCCCTGGCACGTGCGACAGGTGAGGTGACACATCGGTGCATGGTGGAGGGGGGAGGGACGGCTGGTTGTGAGAGAGTGGGACGTGCAATGAAGGGGAAATAGGAGGTTTGTGGGGAAAGGAGCAAGTGATGAAGCAGGGAGCATGCTGGTGAAGGCTGGAGCTCGTGGCGGCATGCAGAGCCCAATCAGGTGACGCTGGGAGGGACGGAAAGAGAATTGCCTGATGTGAAGCGCATACCTGGTTGACAGTGCAGGCACCTGGTTGACAGTGGAGGCACCTGGTTGACGGTGGAGGCACCTGGTTGACGGTGGAGGCACCTGGTTGACAGTGGAGGCGATCTCGTTAGGATCAAGGTCGGAGTAGGGGAAGGGGTTGTCGCAGCAGTAGATCTCCCACAGCAGGATGCCGTAGCTGTACACGTCCGCCTTGTGGTCGTAGGGGCGCTCCTTCAGCACCTGGTGGCCAGGGGGTATGTTATGTTGCAGCAAGGGGAGAGGGGGCAACAGGGTTGAGCAGCAGGGAGACGCAGCAGGAGACAGAAAGAAGGGGGTTGAGAAGGGGAGAGGCACATAGACAGCATCCCACCAATGCCTTCAGTTGTCGGGGTGAGAGCAGCAGCACAATCATGCAGACCGTCCACACACAATCATGCAGACCGTCCACACACAATCATGCAGACCGTCCACACACAATCATGCAGACCGTCCACACACAATCATGCAGACCGTCCACACACAATCATGCAGACCGTCCACACACAATCATGCAGACCGTCCACACACAATCATGCAGACCGTCCACACACAATCATGCAGACCGTCCACACACAATCATGCAGACCGTCCACACACAATCATGCAGACCGTCCACACACAATCATGCAGACCGTCCACACACAATCATGCAGACCGTCCACACACAATCATGCAGACCGTCCACACACAATCATGCAGACCGTCCACACACAATTGTCACATCAGGTTTCACGCTCTGCAACCGTGTATTTGCTGCCACAGCATCACAAGCCATGCACCTCACGTGCCAAGCATGCATGGGTGTAGGAGCAGAGGAGCAGAGGAGCGCACCTCAGGAGCCATGTAGCCGTAGGTGCCGGTCTTGTGGTGCATGGTGCTGTCTTCTGACTTCACTCGTGACACCCCGAAGTCTGCTATCTTCACCACCCTGTGGCCATGCATGCATGCATACATGCACACACGCACGCATGCACACATGCAAACACGCACGCATGCACACATGCAAACACGCACGCATGCACGCATGCACACACGCACGCATGCACACATGCACACATGCAAGCATGCACGCATGCACACATGCACGCATGCACGCATGCACACATGCATACATGCACACATGCATACATGCACACACGCACACATGCACACACGCACACATGCACACACGCACGCATGCACACACGCACGCATGCACAGATGCACGCATGCACACATACACATGCACGCATGCACACACGCACGCATGCACACATGCGCACATGCACACATGCTCACATGCCCGCAAGCACGCATGCACACATGCGCACATGCACACATGCTCACATGCCCGCAAGCACGCATGCACCCATGCACGCACGCACCTATGCACACATGGGCAAATGGATGAAACCACACATCGTGGCCTATTAGCTCAGCTGGTTAGAGCGTCGTGCTAATAACGCGAAGGTCACAGGTTCGAGACCTTTTTTTTTTTTGGTTCACTTTTGAACCACTCCTGTCAAAACACCTGGGACCAATAGCACTTCCACGACGAAGTACTACTCTCTATTTCTTGCAGGGGGTCCTGCATGTGGGGTTTATTATTGCTGGCTCAGGGCGCTTCCATACAAGCCCGCGGCCCACATTGCGAGGCGCGCGAGTCAACTTTTAATAACTACATGCACGCATGCATGCAGTGCAGCGCAGTGAGGAGAGGCGAGGGTGAGAACGCAGTGGTTCAGCGGCGAGACCGGGGATCCGTGGACGGGCAAGGCACGGGTTGAGGCGGGGCGAGTCATCAGATGGAGGGGGTGGTACACTGATGGACACAACTTGACACCACGCATCCACACACAATGGCAGACTGGTGGCACAAGGCTCAGATGAAGCAGGGCAGCATGGTGACATGACATCCCATGGCCCCCACCCACCGGTGGTGTTTGTCGAGCAGCATGTTGTCTGACTTGACATCACGATGCACGAGCTCCATACGCATGCCACGCATGCTCACATCCCAATGCCCTCAACCACCGGTGACTGCCACAAGCCTCATATCACACCCCAGCGCCTTGACCCACCGGTGGTGTTTGTCCAGCAGCATGTTGTCTGACTTGACATCGCGATGCACAATGCCCCTCGAATGCAGATACTCCAACCTGTGCCGCCCGGCAGAGATTGCAGCGAGAGGGTGCAAGATGTGCAAGGGTGTGAGTGAGGGGGAATATGAGAGGCTGCATGCGAAACGATGCAATGAAAGAAGCAGTGCATGCCATGCCACCTACCCACCTTACCACCCGTCACAGTCAACAGCCATCATGCAAAATTGCCAATTATGATGCCTCACCCCGCACCGAGCCAAACACCTCACCACGCCTCATCCCTCACCACCCCTCACCCCTCACCACCCCCTCACCCCTCACCCCTCACCCCTCAGCGATGTCGAGCGCCAGGTGCACAACGCGGTGCACAGACAGCTTGTTGTGGTACTGCTTCATGAGCAGCTGCTTCAGTGTGCCGCCCGCCAGAAACTCCAGCACCACGCAGCACACGTGGCTGCCCACCCGCAGCACGCCCCTGTGGTCCTCCACTGTGGAGGGAAAGGTGTACGAGTCTGGCCCGCCCAGCAGCGCCCCCACGAACTGAACGCGCCACACCGCATGCACGCGGGGTGGGAGACAGGGATGGCAGCGATGGACGTGGCAATAGAATGCACACAGCACAAGCGAGCGGAACAATGCCATGTGCTTCGATGTGTTAGGAGCAATAGAAAGATGGACATTGTCGGGTGCGGTGCATGGCGAATAGCGCCAATGCTGCAGTGCGCCACTCACCTGGCAGATGTTCTTATGCTCCAGTGTGCTCCAAACGAGCACCTCCTGGGCGAACACGTCTCGCAGGAATGTGAGCTTGGCGCGCGATGCCTTGTCCATCTCGCCCCAATCCATCAGCTTCACTGCCGCACGCCATGCACTCACATGCACCCACATGCACCCACATGCACCCACATGCACCCACATGCACTCACATGCACCCACATGCACCCACATGCACCCACATGCACCCACATGCACCCACATGCACCCACATGCACCCACATGCACCCACATGCACCCACATGCACCCACATGCACCCACATGCACTCACATGCACCAACATGCACTCACATGCACCCACATGCACTCACATGCACTCACATGCACTCACATCCACTCACATGCACTCACATGCACTCACATGTACTCACACATGTATGCATCCGTTAATCCATGCCGTCATGCACATTCACATCCATGCGCATTCACATCCAGATATACATGTAGAGAAATACACAAGTTGCATTGGCGGTGAGGATGTGGAATTGCATACTAGCTGCGCACACCATGCACCATGCACCCTGCACCCTGCACCATGCATCCTGCACCACCCACCATGCACGATGCACGATGCACCTTGCACCACCATCCACCACGCACCCAACCCGAGAGCGCATGTGAGCGAGGAGGTACCTGTTTGATTGTCTCACCACGCACCAGCCACCTGTTTGATTGTCTCACCACGCACCAGCCACCTGTTTGATTGTCTCACCACGCACCAGCCACCTGTTTGATTGTCTCACCACGCACCAGCCACCTGTTTGATTGTCTCACCACGCACCAGCCACCTGTTTGATTGTCTCACCACGCACCAGCCACCTGTTTGATTGTCTCACCACGCACCAGCCACCTGTTTCCCTCGGTACTCCCCGCGGTGCACGGAGCCATAGGTGCCGCGGGCAAGGAAGCTCTTAATCACCAGCTGCTGTGGGTCGATGCGCCACTGCTGCCACTCCTCCTCCTCCTCCAAGCACCCCTCCAGCCACTCCGCTGCGCCCATGTTGCTGTTCGTGCTCACTTCGCGCCCTATGCCCCCCTCGCCCCCCCACTCCTCCGCCTGCAGCTGCTGCAACCGCCCGCCCGCGCGTAGGGGGGAGTGGGGGGCATGCAGGGGGTGGTGCGGGTGGGCGTGGAGGGGGGCGTGCAGGGGGGCGGAATCCGTGAAGGCGTGGTGAGGCGCGTGGCCGTGCTGCGCGGGGATTATGCCCGCCGCCCCACCGTGCTCCCTCACCCCGTCCCCCACCTGCCCCTCGCCCCCCTGCCCCCCGCCACTGAGCGCGTCCGCGGCGTGCTGAGCGCGCTGCTGGCGCTCCACTGAGCGTGCCACCTCGCGCCCCACGTCCAGGTATCCCACCACGCGCCGCTGCTGCTCCGCGCGCCGCACCATCTCCCTCAACCTCCCCCGCCTACCGCCCTGCTGCCGCCCCGCCACCCCCTCACTCCCCTCCGCCTTTCCCTCCCCTCCTTCCACCTCCCCGTTCCCCCCCTGTCCCCCTGCACTCTGCTCTTTGCCGCTGCTCTCGCCCTTCCTCTCCTCCTCTCCCCTTCCCTCCGCCTCCCCTCTCCCCGTCGCCTCCCCATCGTTCTTCCCCACCAACCCAGTGTCCCCCTCGTCCGCCGCCGCCCCCCCCACACCTTCCGCCGCGCCATCAGCGCCAGCGCTTCCCGCTTCTTCCCCCGCCACCTCGCCATTCCCGTGAGTGCCTTGCGCGGCGCTCTGCACTCCCCCACTCCCCTCCGTCCCTCCGCCCCCCACCATCCCTTCCGCCGGGTTTCCGTCCGCTACAGCGCGTCCCGCCTTCGCCGTCTGCGCTTGCTCGTCGCGCGCACCACGAGCCTCCACTGCGCCGCCGGCGCAACCACCGCCGCCGTCAGGCAGCGGTTCGGAAGAGCGCGTCTCGCCGTTCACTCGTCCAAGTACTAAGGACGGGTCATCGACAGCACTTAATGCTGCGTTGCGCATCGCGTGGGGGTGACCGTCCGATATGGCGCTTCGGATGACCGGCACATGTGGTGCGCTGCTAGCAGTATCGCTGATGGCGCGGGCCACAGTTGTTCAAAACTGCGTTCAAGCTCTGAACGCTCAAGAGTACCGCAATGCACCATGTAAAACCGATTGAGACAATATTTGAGCCGTTTTCAACCCACGTGATTCCTTGAACAGCTTGTTCAAGAATCTGTGTTGAAGAACTGTGGACCCGCCCTGAAAAACACTTTTCACGCCGTTCGTTCCTCTTCGACCAATGGACAGCAATTCCATCCCATCTTGCAATGGATGAAGCATGTGAGTCGGGTCGAGACCTTGAGTTGACTGAAAAGTCACACACAGCAATCCCATGTGGCATCCAATCGATGGAGCATGCCGTTCGTGACTTGACTGCAAGTCGAGATCTTTGTGCGTCGAATCCACCTATCAGCTCATGCGACTCTTTTGATCACAGCAATTTCCACGTGTCGGAGAGAAGGTACACTAAACACCCCTTATCAGCTTACCATATCTGAACGACCCCGTAAAACGTTGCATACAGATTTATGCCTTAAATTTCAAGTTGTACCGTATATACATTTCCTTAAAGCTGAAGTATACATTTGTCAGCAGGGTTTAGGGTTTAGGGTGTTGGGCTGAGAAAAGCCCTTAGGATCTTTGCAGGAGTGAACTCTGGGTAGGACTTGTTGTAATTAGCGGAAGCTTAATGAGAAGTGTTTGAACCACCTTGCGCTAGTATGTGAGGGCAAAGTAGATTGATTAAAGCAAAGAGATACAAGATTATATAAGAGTACAAGGAATACGAAGAGACACGGTTATAACTACTTTACTGTTGCTGTTGCGGTTCTACGACTCGGGCAACTGCTCTGTAGCGAGTCCGTTGTGTGTCCTTGCTGTCGCGCTGTATTTGTCAGGTCAAAGGTCGTTGACCTTTGACTTTCGCGTAACCTCCAGCGGTTTACTTCAACCTCCGAGGGTTGACTCGCTGGTGCCTCGATATGCTTTGCTTCGCTTGTGTCTTGGTGTTTCGACACGACAGAGGCGCTTAAGACTGATTGTTTCCAACACTCCCCTTCGCTTCTGGAGTGTCGCTGCTGGTGACGTGGCTCTGTCCAGTCAGCAGCATGCAGTACTCAAACTTCTGCTTCCCGAGCTTCTTGGTCAAGTAGTCAGCTGCCATCTCGGTCGTGGGGCAGTATGACAGCTCGAGTCTCCCCTTCTCGATCTCGTCCTTCACGAAGAAGTATCGCAGGGCGATGTGTTTCGTCCTGTTTGCGAAGCCGTTCTTGTTGGCAATGCGAATTGCCGACTGGTTGTCACAGAACAGAGTGAAATTCGGTAACTGGGCTAGTTTGGCTTCCTCCAGAAGTTCGCGAAGGTACAATCCTTCCTTGGTGGCGGAGCAGAGTGCGATATATTCTGCTTCAGCTGAAGAGAGGGCGATTAATTCTTGTTTGCTCGACTGTCAGGAGATAGGCCCGATGGGCTCGAAGCGATAGATGTAGCCAGTGCGAGAATGCCTGTTGTCGGAATCGCCAGCGTGATCGGCGTCGACGTAGCCGATTAACTTAGGTGTTGTAGTCCCGTTCTTGTGATAAGTCAGGCCGATCGTCGGAGTGCTGACGAGGTAGTGAAGAGCGCGGTCGAGCTCCGCCATGTGATCCGCTTCAGGTTTCTTGAGGTAGGTAGCGAGCTGACTTGCAGAGTACGACAGATCCGGACGGCAGGTGACGGCTGCGAAGAGAAGGCAGCCCAGCTTTCTCTGGTAATCGCGTATACCGGCGGGCTTTAGTAGAGTAGTTCCTTCCTTGTTGTTTCCTGCCGCGTAGCGATATGGCATGGAGATGGTGGTCTGCGAGAGAGCGAAGCGTTTAGCGATGGTGTCGGCGCACTTCGTGGCGCTGAGGTAGATTGCGTCTTCTTCTTCCTGAATGTTGAGGCCGAGGTATTGCGTGACGGTGGATGAGACTGTGAGCGTGAGGTCTTGCTGCAGCTCCCCTTCGAACCAGGTGGTGAACCCGTCGGTTGAGCCGATGTAGAGTAAATCGTCTACGTAGACGATCAGCAGGATGTAGTCGGTGCCCTTGGTGAGCCGGTACATGCCTTGGTCGTGAGGTAGCTGGCGAAATCCGATGCGAATGAGTCGGGCGTGGAGATACTGCTGCCATAGTCTCGGGACTTGTTTGATGCCATAGAGTGACTTCAACAGCTGACAGACTTGGTTAGGTTCTCCGTTGGACCCGTGCGGTAGCTCGACGAAGATTTCTGCGTCAACAGGTGCGTAGAGAAATGCGTTGGCGACGTCGATTTGCCGCAGCTTCTTCTTCTTCATGGCGGCGATGGCGAGGAGAATTCGCAGCGAGGTGTGTCGGCTGACTGGCGCAAATGTTTCGGTGAAGTCGCGTCCGTGTTCTTGGTCGAAGCCGCGTACGACCCAGCGTGCTTTAAACTTGTCGATGGTGCCATCTGCCTTTGTCTTCACACGGAAGACCCATTTCCCGGTGAGTACTGTCTTGTTTCGTGCGACGCCGATGGGAACAACTTTCCAGGTGTTCCGTTCTTCCAGTGCTTTCAGCTCCTTGTCCATGGCTTCGCGCCATTTTTCCCTATGCTCCCCCCCCAGAGCCTGCTGAACTGTGGCAGGCTCCCTAGGAATCGCCGTGTCGTGAACCGCGGTGACAAGACCGAGAATCTGGAGTCCGCTCTGTGTGTAGCGGGGGAGTGAAGTATCCTCGGGATAAACTGCTTCATCTCCCGCTTCTGGTGTTGGGTTGAAATTTGGTCCTACGCGTTCTGCTTCGTCGGTGTTGTCTTGTGCAGGTGTAACGTAACCGTTATCGGCGAAGTGATAGTACACTTCGGCGTTGATGCTGTAGCGTGGATTTTTGTCATCCATCGGGACATCAACCGAGCAGTAAGGGAGAGGTCCGGCTTCTTCCGAGGCTCCTTCCACGTTCTGTTCGTCCCAGTCAGCTTCGTCTTCTGCCGAAGCGAAGGCTCGGTTGCCATTGAATCCGCCCGAGGGATCGGGTCTGTTTGCTGCCACGTACGCAAGGTGAACGTCGAGGGTGAGGTTCTCGTAGAAGATGACATCACGTGCTGCGACTGTTTCCTTACTGTTGATGTCGAAGATTTTCCATGCATTGTAGTGTTTTTCGATGCCCAGGTGTAGTCCCCACTGTGCTCGCTGGGAGAATCGACCGGCGCGTGCAGATGGGGGTCGGTACTGTACCATGCAGCCGAAGACTCTCAACATTTTTGTGCTGCCCAGTTTTCCTGTCCACAGCAGATGCGGTGATGCGTTGTTCGGAAGTGATGATGACGCGAGCAAGTTGTGCAGCATGACGGCGTGGTCCATTGCTTCGGGCCACTGGTGGGTGGGCAGATGCATGCCACGTAGCAGCTTGCGCATGGTGTTCTGGAGGGTCCTGTTCATCCTTTCTGCTACACCCTGCTGTTGATGGGCGTAGGGAAGGGAAATGAGTCGCTTGATTCCTCTTTCTGCCAAATACTGCTTGAACCGCTGTGAAGTGTATTCTCCTCCTGCGTCTGACTGGAAGCTTTTCAGCTTGACGCCCGATTCTCGTTCCGCCACAGGAAGCCAGGCGACGAAGGCTTCGAAGGCCATGTCCTTGCTTGGAAGGTTAAGGTGCCAAACGTAGCGTGTTGCTGCGTCGATGAACGTGATGGTGTAGTTGTATGCGTTTTGCCCGGGTTCGCGATTGTACAGGATGTCGCTGTACACCTTTTCAAGGGGTGTGTATGCAGGTGCGCTTGGATTGTGATGCGAGACGAACGGCTGATGCGGTAAGTCTGCTTCAGGACAGGTGAAGCACGTTCCGCGGACTCGCTGGAGTTCTCTGCCGTCGGTTAGGAGTAGGGAATCTTTATCGAGCACGCCTGCTCTTATCGTGTTGTTTAACACCGTGTTGCTTGGATGTCCCATTCGTGCATGCCAGGTTCCTTCGTTGGCGCGATGGCCGGGCGAACATCGATACGTGTCGGAGTTGGAGTAGAAGCTGGCGATGAAGTTGGCGCTTCGATGAACTTCTCGTGGTGCCGGATGTAGCTGCTGCGCGGATGTCGGTGGTGTATCGTTGATGAAGACTGGTGCCGTTGAGGGGTCAACGACTGGTGCCGTTGTTGTCGCTGCTGCTGCCGATGTTGTTCCTGCTGCTGCCGATGTTGTCTCTGCTGCTGCCGACGTTGTCTTTGCTGCTGCCAACGTTGTCTCTGCTACTGCCGTTGTTGTTTCTGCTGCTGCCGTTGTTGTCTCTGCTGCTGCCGATGTTGTCTCTGCTGCTGCCGATGTTGTCTCTGCTGCTGCCGAAGTTGTCTCTGCTGCTGCCGAATGTTGAATCGTTGCTAACGCTCTTGTTCGTTCTGCTTCAGGAATGGTGTGCGAATACCAGAAACCTCCGGGGCTGAAGTCTGGATCGAGATCTGGTGGGTGCGTCCAGGAGGTGAAGGTGACGATTCCGTCGCTGTCAGCGGTGCCGAGGTCTGGAACGAAGTCGAGGACGAACACGTTGTTCTTCAGTATGGCCTTGCCGATGTAGAGGCCACCCTTCCCGTGGTACAGCTTGAACTCCTGTGTTGTGCTGTCTGCTTCGAGGTGGATTCTTTTTGCCATCAATTGACTGACGCTCAGTAAGTTGTATCCGAGCCCTTCTGCTATTAAAACCTTGGACATCTGCAGTATGACGTTTGTTTCTCGTGACTGAAGTTGCACTACGCCTTGTCGTCGCGTGCGCAGGTTCTGGTTGTTGGCAACGGTGATAACGACGTCTCGCTGGAGTTGATGTTCGCGTTGAACGAAGCGACCCGAGGAGCACATATGCTGTCCGCAGCAACTGTCCAAGAACCAGGTGTCCTTCCCGGATGGCTCACTTTGGGCGATAGCTGCGTACGTTGGATTTGGCTCCAGTGTCTCGCGGCGCGGCGTCCTTTCGTCAAGAAGTTCTTCGGGTGAGTAT